TAAATTACATTTTAAAATATATTTAAACGGAGAAAACGGTTCTTTTCAGTTGTTATAATATTTCACAATATTGCTGTTTTTACTGTACTTTTGATCAAATAAATGCAGCCTTGGCGAGCATAAGAGACTTCTTTCAAAAACATTAAAACAATCTTATTTTTTCTCATTTCTCTATATTTCTCTAAGTTCTATTACTTTGACCTTTTTTCTGCTTTTCTTAACATCCCTGGAATGTCATTCACTCATTTCCTGTGCGTATGTCAGTATACAGCAGTCTCTCATTTAGTCACAGTGTGGGCGAGTTTACCTCATCGCTGCCTCCACTGGCCATGCACAGTAAGTCACAGCTTGTGTCCCTGTCTGTGTCTTTTGTACACACGCTTAGCCCCCAATTAATTTGCTATTGGAAGTGGTTTTCATTAATTGTGACACTTTCATGCAGTGGTGTAAAATCCAATTTTCCTTATATAGCTCCTCAGGAATTCTCCTGGGATGTCTCTCTGATTTGAAGGACACTCTTAGTCAGTGTTCCCTCTAAGCTACGTGCTTGTGATGTTGTTCCTGTACAGACGGAAAAAGCGTTTTGGGTCACATTGAGCTGTACTGTGAATATAACACATCTTTCTTGAGATTAAGGGAAAAGCTGTCTTGACAAAAAGTTTTTAAATTTTGTTATATTTGTAATAATATAATAAATTATTTTCATAATACTATGTATAATTCTATAATATATTTTAACATTTTTATTTTAACATGCATTTTATGTATTTGTTATAGATTTATATATTTAAAAATAGTAAAAAAAATTATAATGAATAATCATAATTTTAAAATGAATGTGATAAGTTAATATATGTATACACACACACATGTGTATATAAAACTGTTAAAATGCTATTATATAAATAATACAAATTATGGATTTCCATGTTTTTAGCTTAGTTATTATAAATTATCCTTAATTTATTAAAACAAAATGTGGTAAACTGCATAAGGTGCTCCACAACAACAAAAACTAGAGGGAGCGTTGCTCTTTAACATTTCTGTCACATATTTGCTCATCCTTTCTCTCCTTTTCACAGGTAGCTCATCAGGACTAGCTAATGCCAACTTTGCAAACTTCGATAACTTCCCCAAATCGTGCAGTGCTAATTTCGCCTCATTTAGCTCCACCCAGAGTAACTCCGTGGGAGAGGGGCATAAAGTGGAAGCATTCAGCGTCCCTGCAGACCGATACGCAGCCCTCGCCAACCTCGACAACGTGTTCGGCAGCAAACCTGAGCAAGGTACATTTTCTCACACTCCTACAGCCCATCCTATGCAGGCATGGAACAACGATTTTTGAGCGTCAACTCATTTTCTGTCCTCAAATGCTGTGTGAAGCTACAGAGCACAATAAGTCTTTTCAAAATTTTTATTATTTATAAAATAAAAACTGGGGTACATGTGCACAAAAATGGCTAAAAATAACCACTTTATGTCTGTCTCCACAGGCACAAGTTCAGCCCCTCCATCAGCAGGTGTGGGTCCACAGGCGGCTCTGTTGGTTGGCAATCGCTACGCTGCTCTTGCTGAACTGGACAACGTCTTTAGTTCCTCCGCACCAAACGTGAGCGGCTACAACACTGCCACCACAGCACAAGGGTGAGACTATAAAGACATGTGGCCCTTTACCTCTCAATGTCTTTTTCTCGGTTGTGTTAAGCTCTCTTTCTGCTCTCACATTCAGGTCTGTGTTTGGATCCTCTACGGCTGTTCCTCCAGTTCAAGCACAACAGGGTTTACCCAGCATGCCTCAGGGTTTTGGAGGTAAGCATCTTTAAGATCTATTGGAATTTCCAATCTACCTTCTTCACCGCATCTCTTACATCTCGCTTGTGGTTGTAACAGGGCCTTCGACGAATCCATTCGTCGCTCCTGGGGCCCCACAGGCCGCTCCCACTAACCCGTTCCAGACCAATGGAAGAGCAGCAGTACCAGGAGTGGGTGTGGTCACAGCGGGTATGGGCGGAGCTTATGTTAACCTGCTAAATCTTAAGAGTTTAAATGAGTTGTTCGATCAAACCTGGCATTACTTCGCAGAGAATCTTCTCAGAATTCACAGCAGGCTTTGTCCTCGGTTTTAAAAGAGTTTAAGCAGCTCTTGCTTTGTCTCATTATTTATTTAACATGCCTGAGGGCTTTGTGAACAGTTTTAAGTGGGTCAGATACCCCCAGTATCCATGCTAGGAGCTAACAGCTTGAGATCGCTTACACACAGGCGAGATACAAAGGCACTTCAGAAGAGCTGCAGAGATTTGTGGGTCTCTACATCCCTGCGGTGGATAAATATTGGGTGTGTTCATGTTCCAGAGAGAGAAAGAAAAAAGGCATAAATGAATGAGAAGCAGATTTTTTTTGTCCCATGAAATTTATATAGGCCAAAAGTGTTAGAAAACTTAAAATGGAGTGAGCTGCGACTGATGGTTTTGTCTGGTTGTGTTCTTGACATGCTGATCAGACATGTTAGGACCCCTGCAGGGTCAGGCTTACCCTGCGGCCCACTTCGGTATGTCCATCGCTCTCTTTCTCTTATTTTCTCCCTATTCTCTCTTCCTTTTCTGGGGCTTGGCCTTGACTGTAGACTAGTTGGCTTATATAAACTACACGGACCACAATTGTGTGGTCATCTTGACCTTTTGACCCCATTAAAGAAAGGTATGCTTGTGTTGTCTTGATGAACCCCAGATAAAGTATTGATATCCCATGTCCACATCAGTGGTCTCCAGCTGTGACAGAAAATACACCAAAAGCATATATGTTCAGTAGCCACTTAAAAATGTGTGTATTTTATTAGATACAAAATATCAAGCCAAGTGGCATCTGCTAACAAATGATGCTAGAGCTTTTCTGTGTCACTTGTTTTGATGTTTTGTTATATAATGCTACTGTTCAAATGTTTTGGGGTAAGATTTGTATGTTTTTGGAAGAAGTCTCTTATGCTCACCAAGGGTATTTGATCAGAAATACAGTAAAAGCAGATATGTTGTAAAATATTATTACAATTTAAATTGACTGTTTTCTATTTTAATATATTTTAAAATGCATTCCCGTGATGATGGCAAAGCTGAATTTTGAGCAGCCATTACCCCAGTCATCAGTGTCACATGATGCTTCAGAAATCATTCTAATGTGCTGATTTGGTTCTTAAAACATATTTCTTATTATTTTTTATTAATGTTGAAAACAGGTGTGCTGCTTAATAGTTGTGTGGAAACTCTGATACATTTCTTTTTTCCAAAAAAAAAAAATCTTACTGACCCCAAACTTTTGAACAGGTGTGCATATATATATTACGTGTATATATTAGGGCTGCACGATAAATCGCATGCGATATTTAATGCAAGCCCGCAGGTGATGGAGATTTACCGCTGATTACAGAACCGGCTTTCTGACAAGATGCGCATTAAATATCGCATGCGATTTATCGTGCAGCCCTAGTATATATTCATATATTACTAGACTCACTAATGTTGAATAACGTTAGTAGTATTGGAAACTGTTAGTTCTTTGTTCTGTATTGTCTTTCCTCCTTTATTGCTGTGGAGCTTTTGTCCGGTTTTGTCATCTGCTTTGCAGAATCATTGCCACAGATTTCTGTACTCCGGATAAAAATAGTCCTTCCTTAAAGTCAGCATGACCCTTTTCCTAAGCTTATTGTGAATGACTTATCAGTGGAGTGTTGGATTCCTGAAAAAGTTACATTTCACATCCACTGATAAAGAATATTAAGTTAATTCAGGTAGTTTAGCTGTTGTTTAAAGATTGTTTCAAGTGAAGTTGAACCTCAAACATTGTCACTGCATCTCACAGATTGTGTAAAATACACTGAACAGCATGTGTATGTCAAACTGAGATGTTAACGCAGAGCTCTTTGTGTCCCACAGCCTCTTTCGGCCCACCGTCCATGAGCATGCCGACTGGGTTTGGGAATGCTGCTGCATACAACCTTCCCACCAGCTTCAGTGGAAGCTTCCAGCAAGCTTTTCCTGGACAGCCGTTCGCCCAGCAGCAGCCGTATCCCCAACAACCCAACGGTAGGGGCTGAGAAAGACTTACTGCAAAGATTTTAATGCCATTATATTAATGGTTTACAATTTGTTCCACTGTCATGTGGCATTTTGTAGAATGTTTCAGTTGTATTTAAGCTAAAAAGATTGCTTTACATGGTCCCATTTCTTTTTTTGTATTCACATATTTGTCTCTCTCTCAGGAGGTTTTGCTGCATTTGGTCAGGGTAAAGTCACTCCGTTTGGACAGAACATGACTGCGCCTGGAGTAACCAACAATCCCTTCCTGGTGCGTAATTTTATTTTTATTTTTTTAATTTGTGTATTATAATTATAATTACATATACTATTTATATGTCTCTTATTTGTATTTATTTTTTTTTTAAGTTAAATCTGTTATTAATGTGCAATTAATAATTATAATTAATAATGAATTAATTTATTATATATATTTTATAGTTAATTTGTCTTATTTTTATTCATTTTACAAAATAATTTTTTTCTTGAAGTTAAATCTTGTTATTAATTTATAATTAACAATATATTATATTTTTTATAGTCTACATTATATTCCAAATGTTAATTTAAGTCTCATTGATTGATTGATTGATTGAGTTTTCTCTTTTCTCTTGCAGGCAGGGGCACCAGCAGCACAGTTTCCTGCAGGAGGCTCATCCTCAAACCCCTTCTTATAGCGCGCCTTTGTCCTCTGCTCCCTCCGGTGGGCGACCTGTGACTCGTTCGCACCTCTTGCACTGTTTTGTTTCTCAAGTAGCTTTAAAAAAAATAACATCAATTTCCTAAAAAAATTTTATATTGAATTTTAAGAGCAGAAGACTGAAAAAAAACAGCAAAGGAATAGATACATGATCCTGTCTATGGCACATCCATAGTAACAGAAACCAAAACATGTTGCAGGGTTGTATGGAGAAAAGGATTTTTTTTTTTTTTACCATGCTCCTTTTGTCATTCCTGTGAACTGGCCTGACCTGGAAATCATCTGCACGACTTGGTGGATTACTAAGTTATTGCAAGCCTCCCGTTCATGTTAATGCTGCAGTTCTGTACATAATTCTTTCATAGAAATTGCTCATTTTTAGGTCTTTGTGCATATCAGTATTTGTATCTTTTAACACACATACATGCGTACACACACACACTGCATATACAGCGCTGATGTCCGCCATGCTGTGAATAACATTAAGCAAGAATGTGGTATCTCTTTTTGACATCATACTGTCGTCTTTTAGTGCTTTTGGAGTTTCTGAGAATAAGGCAAAAACATTGTTTTTCCGTTATGAGGAGTTAAAACTACAAGACTCTTTTAGAATGTCAACTCCTGAACTCGTGAGACTCTGACTCAAGACCACTTATGTTACAGAAATCTATTAATATAAATATATATACAATATATATAACAATGAATTTGACCTAAATCATGTGTGATGGCTTAAAATTCCTGTACTTCCTGTTCCTTGTGTTCAGAACTTTGTTCCAATGATGATTTGTGCATCATCTTCTGCCTTAAAAGTTTCTTCTGGATTTTCTCTCGGTGTTTCCGTCTCAGGTTTTCGGGCACATTGTGGTATACAAACCCCTCAAGAAGAAAATGAGTGCAATAATAGAAAAATATGCTCCGTAGACTGTAAACTGGAAGACAAGTAACAAGAACAGTCTAAATTCATGTTCTGGATCCAATACAAATTTAGCATATGTGTCGTGCTGGCGATGACCGTAGAAGATCATTTTGACCTATATGGAAGGTGTCAGTAACCTCACCTGTGTGACAATATCCACCCCAAGCCCACTGCTATCCACCACCACGGAGGTGATGATTGTCTGGAGGACCAGCGCACAGAAGGTGTTGGCTCCGAACACAAGGGCGTAGCGCTCCATGTTCAACCCAGCTGCTATCTGGAACCTATGAAACAAGGGCATGGATGTACTCATGCATTCATTGACTAATTGGAGAGATGATATTAGTGTAGATGTATTTTTCTTTCTGCTGCTTTATTAAATGTCAGGATATTGTGATTTCCATGCCTGGAAAAGTTATTGTAATTAATAAAAATATCTATAATATATTTTTCTAGTTGTGCTCAGTTCTAAAAGATGTCATTGGCTAAAGTTGTTTTGTGCAAATCTCTTTAAATGACTATTTAAAACCCTTAATCTGTAATGATGAGTGACTGGAAAAATCATGGAAATTCATTCGGTCTGGGGCCCCTGTGATGAGTAACGCAGTGAATGAAAATATTATATATTATTAAATATTAGAAAATGTATTTAATTGTAATTTCCAGGCCTGGGAATGTCTTGAAAAGTAAGAACATTTTAGTATCATAGATAATATAGACACTATTACAATTTTTATTTTAAATAGAGTCGTTAAATCTGGCAGCACTGATTAAAGTAGTGTTTATATTAAGTGCAGCGCTGCTTTGTTTCCAGAAGCGCCACCTGCTGTCAGAGAGTGAATTTGCATTTTCATTCAGCCCATCTGCTGTTTTTGTTTCGTGCAGATATGTTTTATGTAGCATAATTTCACAAAGCTGAGGTCAGACCATTATGTTTTAGCTTCAGGTTTTGAAATGATTTAATCTAGTTTATTAAATCAAAAACTGCTCCTGTAGGATCTTTGTTTGGATTGTGATTAAAATGCAGTGATTGCCTCTCATTTCAAATGGCTACAGATAAAGGCTAGTTTGGCCTGTAATAGAGCAAATAAATCTTGTTCATGTACTAATATTTTCATTCTATCTTGTCTCTTGCTTAAAAAAAGTAAAATAAATATTAATAAAATCGGCCCATTTTCATTGTAAAAATCGGCAATCAGAATCGATTCATTCAATCAATCAAAAATACATGCTAATGTTTTATTTATTATTAGCATTAATTAAAACTCGTTTTTTTATTTTAAAGTAGTTTTTTTTTTTTTTTTGCTGTGATACTGAAATTGATTAATGTGTAATTAAGAGCTCATATTAAAGAGCAGATTTTATATTTAAGTCATGGCCAAACTGTATCTCTTTTAAGGATATCTGGAGAGAGAGAATAACTTTAGGGTGTGATCCTTGTCTTTTATTGCCACTGTAATTAAATTAAAAATGTCCTGGAAAATGATTCCTGAAAAAGAGTGAAAACATATATGTATATATATATATAGTGGCAATGTACATATTGAGTGGGAATATATATATATTATTTTTAGTTTTAAAAGAAAATGTAAAATGTTGCTTTTGCAACTAGATTAAATAATTTTATTTCAGTTAATGTTATTTTATTTGAACCTATTTCAAGCAAAAAAAAAAAAGAATTCTTAACCTTTGCAATGTGTACATTATTTATTTATAGCATATACGTATAAACTTTGCCATGCTTTGCATAGTCGATTTTCACTTAAAACAAATGGACCTGGAATTTGTCTGTCAGCATTACAGGTCCAAAATCTTTACCACTGCACCAATTAAGGTGAAACAGCAAGGGGTCAGATAGGATAATGTACACTTTTCTGAAAGTTTATCATGTAATTATGCAATTAATTTGGAGCAGGGATAGGTTATATTCAGCAAAAATTCAGTCCTTGATAACATTTAACTTCATTTCTAATAAACATAAATATAATCTGAGCAGGCATTTATAAGAAGTCACGTATTTTGAACAGGACTTACATGGCAATGGTGATGAGCAGCATGTACAGGCTCTTAAAGACGATGTAGCCACAGTAGCAGACCCAGATGTTGGCGCTGAAGACCATTGCGAAGAGTGTGCCGCCCTCCAGCGCCGAGAGCGCGCCCAGAGCCACCTCACCCCAGCGAGACCAGTCTGCGGATGAAAAACTGATGCCATACTCTGCCGCGGCCCCTGTGGTGCGGTCATGTCCAGTAAAAAACACGTTCAAATACAGTCTAAAGGCCTGTATTTTAAATTAAGAAATATTTACTTAATTGGAGTGCAATTAGATTTAATTTATTCATGAATGTTAAGCTCAGTAGTAAGTAATTTGTACTTGATATTAGAACAGTAAAATTTACTTAATGTGCAAATTGTTACGAGGATTTTTTCAAGTAAATCTTAGAAGTTATTTTTTTTCAGTGTAGTGTGAATGAGATTTGAACGTACTACATCCGCCATGTTGATATGGTCATGTGACCTACAGTGTCAGCTGTGTCTCTTCACTGCCAATCACAAATCCTCTCCCATGGCCTCATGGGATAGTAAAATGTCCATCAAATGCACACTTCAAGGGTTAGTTCACCCAAAAATTAAAATTCTGTCATTAATTATTCTCCCTCGTGTTGTTCGAAACCCGTAAGGCCTTCGTTCATCTTCGGAACACAATTTAAGATATTTTTGATGAAATCTGAGGGCTCTCTGACCCTCCCATAAACAGCAAGGTAACTACCACGTTAAGGTCCAGAAAAGTACCAAGATGATCGTCATTCATTCATTGACGATCATTCACTTGTGGACGCGAGTTCACTACAGTACCATGACATGAGCGTGTGGCGGTGCCGGTGTCATGAGAAATCGAGTCCCTCCTCGAAATCGGGTCTGCTTAGGACCCCGAGTGATCCCATTGGCTCAAGGAACTTTTAATGGGTATTATTTTTAATACTGATTACAATTCCTCATTTTTATTGTTTTTTTTTTTGGTTAGCTCACGTACTAGCATAGCATACAGCTACCCGATTAGCCTGCTAGGTTAGCTTATACACCACGCATTTGCACTTACCATACATGTATTCACAACGAAATAGTAACACAAGTGTTGACTTTTGATCAGGCATTTAAAACAGCTACCGCCTTGGTCCTAAGCGGACCCGATTTCGAGGGGGGACTCGATTTCTCATGACACCGGCGCTGACCCAGATCCGGTGTGATGACGTCATTACGCCGGATCTGGGTCAGTGCCGCCACACGCTCGCGTCATGATACTGTCGTGAACTCACGTCCACAAGTGGCGAAAATGTGGAATAAAGTCGTTATTTTTGTTTTCTTTGCGCAAAAAAGTATTCTCGTAGCTTCGTAACTTTACAGTTGAACCGCTGATGTCACACGGACTACTTTGTCAATCATCTTGGTACTTTACTGGACCTTGAACGTGGTAGTTACCTTGCTGTTTATGGGAGGGTCAGAGAGCCCTCAGATTTCATCAAAAATATCTTAAATTGTGTTCCGAAGATGAAC